GTCTGTGCAGTCCTTCTGCCTCATCTGCCATCTTGCCGGAACTCCAAATTTTGCTTTTAATTATATTTCCCCAATATAAACTCCATTATGTCTTTCTAAATCCTTATCACAATTTATATTATTTTTTTTCTGCCTTCTCCAGGAGTCTGTTTTGCTCTTTGCAGTATCCTCAGGCTTGCACAGGTCTAGTGAATAGGACACACTTCATATATTTGCTCAAAGAATGACTGAATAAATTATTAAAAATGACAAAAATCTCTTATATTTGACATATCTTTTGTATCATAATGATAAATTTTCTAATATACTAAATTAGATAAAGGTTCTCATAATTGCTAGTAGGAATGTAAATTGGTTACAGATTATCTAAATATCAACCTGGCAATGTGTACCAAGAGCATTGAAAATGCTCTTAACCCCTTTATTCTATTTTGAAAAATCTGTTCTAAGTAATCAGAGATGTAGTATGAGATTTAAGAACAGGATGAAGAATTTTTTTAAAATATAAAGATGAATAATAGGAAATAAATTAACTGTCTAGTAATGGTGATATGGTAAATGACTCAAATATGGAATATTGTACAGTTGTTAAAATTATGTCTTTAATGTTAAATAAAAAGCAGAATAGAAAACATTTTTAAATTTTTTTCCTAAAAATAAATATATATACAAAAGACTAAATGAAATAACTACTCTTTCATTTAGGTATATTACTAGATAGTGAGATTCAGGGTGATTATTCTTATATATTCTAAATTTCCTTTATTACCCTTATATATTCTTTCTGGACTGAGCTACAATTTTATAATGTGAACAAAACAATTTTTTTTTTTAAAAAAAAGATTCTATGAATACAGTGTTACTTTTATATCTATTTCTGAGTTTTCCCACACCAATCAGATTTAAATTAAATTTGCTATTTTTTTCTAAAAAAGTATTTAGGCCTTAGTGATTTAATTATGCAGTCTCCTCAAAAAAAAAAAAAAAAAAAGTTCTGGTATGGGACTTTATTAACTTTTTCTGTCTACAATTTAATAAAGCTACTTGATCAGCTAGTCTCATTTCAGGGACTCCTTAAATTAGTTATTAGCTAATTTTACAAATATCTGCATCTCAACTTTTTGCAAAGGTAGGTTAAATTCTAAAGCAGTGTGCTTTTGGGAAGCTGTTGGACTTTCAGTAGAATTTAGAATGGAGGTTTGAGCATTTCTGTCTAGAACTTAAGGAGCAGCAAGATCCCAGCAGATATCTGGGTTACCCAAGACTTGAAATTCATGTATATAAACATGTTCTCTTTCTTATATCTTGACCTTGAAATTCACATATATTTAAACAAGAAGATTTATATAAAAATCATATACAGTTGAATCTCAGATTTAAGCACAAAACATCAGTTGGATATCTTTCATACAGTTTTCTTCCTTTTCTTGTGTGAATTTTGATGGTGTCCCTGTTGTCCAGGAGATAGTCCAGCTAGTGGCCAAAACATGAAGAACATCCTCAGTGTGTTGTTTGGAGACTTGAGAAATAAGATGTTCTTAATAATACATGTTTTTATCCCACCAACCTGGAGAAGTAAAAAAAAAGTCAGTTAGAAATAAAGTCTGTTGAAGTTGGTAAACAAAGGCTCACAAATCTTATTACTACTTACCTCCAGGGTAAAGCCTGATGAAAAGTTTTCGTACCTCATCATATACCCAAATCAGTACAGCATTTGGCACAGCTACAAACCAATAATGAGCCCTAGAAGTAGAAGGGTAGAATGGAAGTCTCAATACACCCCGAGGAGAGGCCCTACTCCAACCATAGGTAGAGGGCTTCTTGTTCTTTTTCTTGCCTTACTGAAAATAACAATAAATTCATTGGGTCACACGATAGAAAAATAAAAATCTTTTTATTTAACCTGGACTGTGATGGTCAGAAGCCTTTGAAGTGACCTATTGTATGGGATAGTAAAGTTTGGAAAATCCATTTTCTCTTCTTGAGAACTGACAGTTAAAGCCTCTAACTTACTTTTTCTCACTTTTGCATGTCTTGGGGAGAGGAAAGAAATCACTGAAATCCTAATCTTGATTTACTCTGTGATGTTGTTGTTGTTGTTGTTATGTTCTGTTGAGTCAGACCCGACTCATAGCGACCACTCCTTAGGTTTCTGAGGTGGTTTCACTATGGAAGTAGATTGCCCAACCTTCCTTCTGAGGAGTGGCTGGTGAGCTTGAACCACCAGCCTTCTGGTTAACACTCAAGTGCCTTAAGCACTATACTACCAGAGCTCCAATAGCTTAGAATAAGGGCAAGTTCTTCTCAGTTGCAAGGTGAACTCACCGGAGCATAGTGAAATTCAGGGCTGTGACACTCCCAAGGCCATAGGAGAGGATTAATGCTATGATGATCTGTGAGGCAATCCCTACCCAGATGACTTTATTTCTGCAAGATATAAAAGGAAGCATATTCTGAATTCACAAGGGACTATGATGCTGCCATTGATTCCAACTCATAGAGACCCCCTTTGGGTTTCTGAGGCAGGAAATCTTTATGGAAATAGATTGCCCAGTCTTCTTTCCACTGAGTGGTTGGTGGCTTTGGACTGCCAACCTTCTGGTTAGCAGTCAAATGCCTTAGGCACTATGCCACCAGCGCTCCTTTTTTTTTTTTAACAATGTTGCCATTCAACAGCTTGATGCCACCCAACAGAATCAATGTCTTGTACCTTAAAATCAAGGATGTAGTTAGGCCAGTTGAATCATCTAGCCTCTTCACCCTTAGGACTGCAGGCCCAGAGTTAAGCCATGAGATAAGACTCTGTCAATACCTGAAGAGACCTTGCTGGAAAATAGAGTTTCTCCGGGTTTTCCTCATGATCAGATCTGCTATTTGCTGGACCATTATGGCAACGAAGAAGGCTGTGTAGCCTGTCCATTCTAGATACTGCCTCTGGTACCTTGTCTGTTAGGGAGTAGGGGCAGAGGAGACCATGAGACTCATGAGGGGAAACTTTAGGGAAATTTCAATGCAGTTCTGAAAAGCTTTATTCCCTTCCCCACCACACCAAGACTGATAGCATATCATCTGCTTTTCTTTGGAAGGAAACACTTTTTTTCCCCTTTAACCAGGTGAGTAGGGAAAGAATGGTGTTTTACTTTATTTGGTCCAACTGTAAGTATTGTTGGACTGGGTACTTTTCCATAATAATGGCAAAACTAACATAAAAATGTTAGCTCTAGGGATCTAATGTGAGAGATGAGGTTAAGCTCTGACAAATGCCAAACAATGTGTCAACAAGCCATAAGGACTGAGAAAAGTTCCACCCTCTCTGTCTCCCTAAGGTAGTTAAGGAAAATGAAGTTTCAGCATAAATCAGGTAAAACAGTGATAGGAGGGGAAAACCAAAAGGATGCTCAGGGTAGAGGTTTTCCCTCGCTTACCCATTCTTGTCCATAGCTGTCTTCCAAGTCATTCACAGCATCTTCTTCCCATTCTACCCGGAGATCAATGAGAGTCCTGGGTCTAAACCCTGCCTGTGCATAGACTGTGAAATAAACAACAAAAGCTCCCAGGGACTGCATAAGGCCTAAAAGAAAAAGCGAGATAGATAAAGTTCTTATAATAATTTTCCTCTTATCCTTGCTGTCATCCCAACCTCATTCTCAAAAGGGGGAAAAAAAATTGTGACTGTCTCAAATGAATTCTCTGGGGTGGACCCTTGTGTGCCAGGTAAGAAATGCCCTTATCATACCAATGTGCAGGTAAGAGTACAGAGCGAGTGGTGTGTTCACCAGTCTGTCCTCCTTCTTGTGGCGAGGCTTCCTGTTCATTATATCACTTTCAGCTTTTTCATAAGCCAAGGCAACTGAGGGAATCTAGAGAAGGGAGAGAAACAGTGTATCCTGAAACACAACCTACCAACAGAATACTGATAATAGCAATAGCATAGCAGTCGGTGGAGGCGGTGGTGGTGGTTATGGGAAGGGTATCTGTGAGTGCAGGGTGCATTGTCTGTAAGCCACTGCCACTGAATTGACTCCCACTCATAGTGACCTTAGAAGACAGAATAGAATTGCCCCATAGGGTTTCCAAGGGTGTAATTCTTTACTCTGGTAGCATAGTGGCTAAAGGCACTTGACTGCTAACCAGAAGGCTGGTGGTTCAAATCCACCAGCAACTCCTCGGAAGGAAGATGGGGCAATCTACTTCCGTAGTGATACTGCCTCGGAAACCCAAGGAGGGGTCGCTATG